ATCGTGCGCTCCTCATCAACTCGGTAACCAGAGTTCGCAAGCATAATCCGTGCAGCTCACTCGCATCCGCCGCAATTCGCGCGAGTTTTATCGCATTCGCGGCCTATACCGCGTGTTTTAGCGCGCTTAACCCACCCAAATTACCCCTCCCAACGAACGGCCAGGCGTGTAGCGATTCCAGTTGCGACATCCTCGTCCTTGCACAACTTCGTTCGTCCAACATCCAAGAAGCGTGCACAAGCATTCTTAGGTGTAGGCTACCTCGATAAACGCTTCCGTCGTTTCTGATATTTTCTCGCGCGATCTTAGCCGCTCTCCGAAGACATCTGCGACTTCTCCCCGGGGAGAGAGAGAGAGAGAGAGAGAGAGAGCTAAGAAGCGCGGCTCGAGCGAGAAAAAAAAACACGAAACGCAAAACGAAGTGCAGCCAGCGCGCACTCGGCGTTTTCGCGTCGCGCTGCGCGAGCGACGTATTCTCCGCGCGCACACGATACTTCGTCCGAGTTACCCGTACGCTTGCCTGTCCCACCTATAATCGTCATGACGATGCTATCTCGAAGACGCTCGTTGTCACGTAGCCCTGATCCTCGAGCGAGGCCTAGAGAGGCTCGCTGCGCCGAGAGGGACAATGCTCTCTCTTCCCCGATTGCGAAGCCTCATAGTTCCAGCACGTAGCGGCGGGCGGGAGAGCGCCGGAAGAACTCTCCGAGCGGAGAGTAAGCGGAATTCTCTCTCGTTCTCTCTCTCTCTCTCTCTCTCTCTATTCCTCCCTCTCCTCCTCTTCTCTCTCTCTCTCTCTCTCTCTCTCTCTCTCTCTCTCTCTCTCTCTCTCTCTCTCTCTCTCTCTCTCTCTCTGCCGACGTCGTCCGTTGCTCGTCGTCGCTGACCGTGGCTTCGTTCTCATCGACGTGCGGAGATATTATCGCCGCCGGTACGCGCGACTGTCATCCAGCAGCGCGATCCCGTCGGACCAGAGACGACGACGGGATGACGACAATTCACTGACGTAACAATGTGTAGTGCGTCGCGGCGCGGCGGCCGGCGTGCGCGGCGCGGAGGCTACGTATGTTGCCGCCGGATCGTCATCGGAGCCGTTGAGACAATGCGTTTCTCTACTTCCCTCCGTCGTCGACTCGCCCCAGCGTGTTTCTCACTCTCCTCTCCGGAGCCAATCTCTAGTCCTACGTATCTAATCTCCCTTTCTCTCTCTCTCTGTCTCCCTGCGTATGTATCTGCCTTCTCTGACTCTCTCTCGCCCTTTCTCCTCTCCTCTCCCTCTCTCTCTCCTCCCTTCATCTACTCTCTCTCCTCTTCTCTCTTCTTCTCCTCTCTCTCTTCTCTCTCTCTCTCTCTCTCTCTCTCTCTGCTTCTCTCTTTCTCTGGCATTACCCATGGACAACGCATCCTGTCTCGACGAACGAGCGCTCGCAGTGACTATCTCCCGGCCCATCTGCTCCATTCTCCAGGAGGAACCACCACCACTACCACAGCACCAGCACCACGACATCACCACAGTGCCATTCGCGACCAGAGGATTTCGGCCCGGGCGAATCCCGCTCTCTTCTCTCCTCTCTCCGTCTCTCTTCTCTCTCTCTCTCTCTCTCTCTCTCGCTCTCTTTGTGTCCTCTCGTTGCTACGTGCACGCACGTGTTCGCACGCACACGAGCGCGCCGGCGGACCGGTGGGTTTCAGTCAAGGGGGGGTCGTCGAAGGATGAGGACGATGGCGTGCTCGGCGGCGGCTAGGCGCGGCGACCACGGCGATGGCCCATGCTAAGCATCTTGCCGTAGATACGAGACGGGGGGTTATTATTTCCGTGCTATATCGGTGCGCACGCCTTAGCTCGGGCTTAGCTTCTGCTAAGCCCCCATTTCCGAGGAACCACCTCCACCTTCTCGTTTTTTACCCCCACCAGCCGACTTTTGTGCTACTGCTTTCTGCTCTCGCAGCGCGACCTGGTCCTTTTCTTCCTCGCTTCTTTCGTATCCTTGGAACCTCCCCCTCCCCTTGCTCCTCCCGCTCTCCCTCGACCCTCTGGGATCTGACGATTCACCTCGAGGCAACGCGTGGCTCGCTCTACTTCGCGCTCTTAGGCGCAAGATTTACGCCTCTCCCCCGACTATCTAATCTAGTCGACCATACATTGTGCGGTGTTTTCCGACAACGATATTCATATTGACTCAGTATTTCTCATCGGTAATCTATGCCTTTTGACGTCATTTTTTTTCTCGAATACATTCAACGTAGTTAGGGAAACCCAAACCTATTTTTCTAGTACGGATACAAGTTAGTTCGCAGCGATATTAAAAAGAATAATTTATTGAGGTACGAAAATGTTTCTCTGTACCATAAGAATTAAAATTTTGACAGAAAAAAGTTTTTCGTATTATGTTAGAATCAAAGAAACTACCCGAGGACAAATCTTCGTCTGCGACTTAAATCGTTGGCGATGTCAGAAATCTGCATCTTGGAGTATGCAGTATGTCCCAGTTACGCGTGTGCAGCCGCCGCGGTCACCCGTGCATTTATTAAATACAAACCACATTCTGGGTCTCCTCTCACCTCATTGCTCCACACGTGTAGCCCATATGCAAAAATCATTCCGAAGGTTCCAACCCCCGCGGGCTCCTCCGTCGTTCATCAAGCGTCACGTCGGCTGCACGCTGGGCTCGAACTGGCTTTTCTCGGATACAACTCGGGGAACTCGCGCAGCAGATGTCCAATGAGAGAACTAGAGTCCTGGGAACTTTCCAGAGGCAAGTTCTCTCACTGGGCGTGAAAGAAGCGTTCCTGTCAGGCCGCGGTGTTTTGAAAGTCGCAGGGAAGTGTATCTGCCAGCATCAGATTCAGTGAAGGTGGGCGATCGGCGGAGAATCTTTGACGGCCTTACCTGTGGTGAAGAGGACGATGGCTTTGAGGCAGCTGTACTCCGCGGTGTCGACGTGGAGCGCCTTGAGCTTCTCCACTTGTTCCTGGAAGATCCTGATGTGGTCCATGAAGGCGACCACGCGGTCCGCCGCCATCGGGGTGGCGTGCAGGCCCGCCGCTGCGATCAGCGGCGCTACGTGGAGGGGCATCGAGCACTGGCTCGCGTTCAGGACGAACAGCTCGCTCCACACTAGCCTGAGCAGCGCGACCTGGTCCGTCACCTGGAGATCCGGGAAGAACGGGATGTTGCGGGCCCACTCGACCGCCGAGAAGAGCAACCTCGCGGCGAGCTCGCACATGTTGTCGATGCCCATGATGTTGCTGCTGGGCTGTATGCACTGGCCGTATCTCGTGGTCGGGTACGGCTCCGCCCTGAGGAGCAGGCTTATGTACGACGAGAGGTAAGAGTGTCCATTTAGGTTGGCACACGCGACCGCGTCCCCGTTCGTGAGGGTGAACTGGCCCGGCAGACCCGACAGCTGGGGTTGCGACGCTGGCACCCGCCCCCTCTGCACCGCTGAAACAAGAGCGAGCGCGTCGGAAACGCTTGATAACGCTTGACAGACTCGGCTTCACCTAACGCTGTGATCTCGCTGTCGCGTCACACGGCGCGCCTGCGGCGTCGCAACGGTCGCCCGGATCCGGCGAGTCCGCGTGAGCGGCGGATCGGGACGGCCGAGCCGGCGGCCGATCGACCGGCTGTGATCGATCGGCCAATCGAGCTCGCGAATCGCTTTCGTCCAGGTCTGTCTGCGGAAGTGTCTGAACTCGGCGCGAGCGGAGTTGGAAAGGTGTGTGTAAAGTATGGGGCGAGTTTACCGTCGCAACTGTTCGTCGGCCTCTTCGTAACTTTGTGCGAATTATCAGAGGTGCGCAGCGGTAATGGTGATTAAGAGAGCGACCAATGCCCTCCTTGAACGAAATGAAGTGAAATATTCGCGGGAGATTGCAGACAAGCTTGCGAAGAGAAAAGAGAAGAAAGAAAAGGCGACTCCAACTTCTCGCCAGCCGAGCACGCCTCCGCATGACGAAGCGACGAGTGTCGAATGCTTCAAACCGTCGGAGGTTCCGCGCGTTCCGCTCGTTCGATTGACTCTCGCTGTTGGCCGATTCTTCAAATGCGATCAATACTCGGCATTATACCCGATGCATGAGTTAATGAGGCGCGGTATTACCACGCCCCCGGTCAGCGGTGACCGTCACGGTGCTCGTCGCGTTAATTAAACGTCTCTCTCTCTCTCTCTCTCTCTCTCTCTCTCTCTCTCTCTCTCTCTCTCTCTCTCTCTCTGTACTCCCTTCACACACGTTCTCCCGGCCGATTTTTCCATCCGCTTTCACGGCTTTCGCGCTCCGCAACCCGCGGCCCAGTTTACGCCACTCGGCCTGAATGCTCGCGACGATCTCGAGGGATCCTGCCGCGAGCGAGCGCATTTTTGCGGACTTATCTGCGCAGTCACGCGTCATCGAGTTCGCGACTTCGGCGGAACGGAGGCTCTTTCGGGCTCGCTCTTTCGATTCTCTTCCCCCGAGAATGCCCGCGGACGGGATATACTCGCGTCCATATCTAGGTAACGGTTAACCGATTGTGCCAAGCGCGAATACACGCGCTCGTTGACCCCCATAAATACGTATCGACTGGTTACATCGAACTGCTCGCCGGTGATCGACGTGAACGGCCTGACGGGACGGAACGGGACGGGACGGGACGGGACGGGACGAGAATCGGACAGGCGCACTTTACGATAATGTATACGCACGATGAAAAGCGGGGACCGGGGAATCTCACGCGAGAGAGAGAGAGAGAGAGAGAGAGAGAGAGAGAGCGCACGCCTCGGCGGCGCGGACGTCTCCGCTAGACGACCGGCGATCGACGGCGGCGTGTCAGCGGCGAAAGGACGCTCGTTCTCGGCTTCGTTCTCGGCTTCGGCCGAAAGTTCCGCGCGAGCGGCCGAAAATATATGGCGATCATCGGCTTGCGTCACGCTTGTCTATACGCCGGCAGTGTAAATTTCTACGTCGCCCAGGGCGATCGTCCTCGACAGGCGTGACGTAACGGGCGGCTCTTCCTCTTCTTCGTCTACTTCTCGGACAGCGCTCGCATCGACCACCGTGTAGCTAACGGTCCGCCGTACCTAGGGCGTTCGAGTGTCCGCGCCTTGCGGCGACAGCAGCAGCGGCGGCGGCGGCAGCGGCGGCGGTGGCGGCGGCGGCGGCGGCGGCGGAGGCTCTGAGGAGGATACATAACGCACTCGTTATGCCTCGGCGCTCGGTACATTCGCCGCTTCCAAGAAATCGCCGAAGACGTCGTCGAGGACGAGGACGAGGCCGACGAAGACAAGGACCACGGGGACAACGAGCCGGAGGAGGCACAGGAGGAGGAGGGGGAGGAGGGGGAGGAGGAGGAGGAGGAGCGGGAGGTGGTGCTGGTGGCACGACACCTGTGCCGGAACCCGGACGAGCCGCTGCGGTCACGCGCAGCCACACTCTCTCGAGTGCCTGCAAATATTGTGCAAAGGCAAACACGCGGTGCCATAACGCGGCTCGTTCAAGTACACGCAAACACGGCCGATCGCTCGAGGGACGCTCGCTGGTGCGCCGGTACCGGCGATTCGATCGGGACGACGAATTTCGCCGAAAGCTGTGTACGGGCCGTTCCGGTTCACCGGAACTGACCGACGTCGCCGTCGTCGTCGTCGTCGTCGTCATTATCAAGATCATCATCATTATCATCATCATCATCATCATCATCATCATCATCATCATCATCAACATCGTCATCATCATCATCATATCATTGAGGTTAATGCCCGTTGCAATGCCCCAAGCGTCGACGCGTCGTTTTGTCTTACTGTGCGGCTTTTTTGCGGCGTGCGCTATTAAGGAGATTTGCAATTTCGCCATATCGCGCAGCAATGAACGTACACGTTTTCCCTTTCGTTCTTTTCCTTCTTCTTCGTCGTCTCTCACGAGACGACGACAACGATGTACCACAATGTACACAATAGCGCGCGCACAGCCCGTCGCCGTCGTCGTCGATGACTTCCTGCGCCGTCGCCGCGTCGTCGATCGTCGGACGCGGTCGCGAGGACGCGCGGCGCTCACCACCGGCACCGACTCGGTCGCGGCTCTCCGTGCGCGATCATGCGAGATGTCCTGCGAACCGTTACGTACTTATAAAACGCGCCTCTGCCGCATTCTCCGGGCGCGATTACCGCGATTATTGCCGGACCGCGCATTTTTGCCGCGCGCACGCGCGCGGATTACACACTCGGCGGCGGCGGCGAAGAGGACGACGGACGCGACGCGATTACTCTCCTCGCCGTTGAGTAACGACCGCATGAGAGCGCGAGCGCGATTGTCCACCTAGCGAGCGAGCGAGCGAGCGAGCGAGCGCGATTGCGCTCCGTCCGCGTAACGCAATTACTTCGCGTTACTCGAGTGTGCTTTCACTCGCGATAATTGGCAAATGACGGGGCAACGCGTGCGCGTGACAATGCTGAAAATGAGGCGGCCGGAACGAGCTGCCGGAGCGAGCCTTCGTAAATCTGCGCCGCGGCTCTTTGCGCGCGCCTGTTCAAGTAGATAACGTCGCCGGTGAATTATTTCCACGCGCGAACGAGACGGATGTCGCGCGAGCTCCCTCTCTCTCTCTCTCGCTCTCTCTCTCTCTCTCTCTCTCTCTCTCTCTCTCTCTCTCTCTCTCTCTCTCTTCCTCGCCAAGGTTGAACTTAACAACAAAGTTGAAAATTCGAGTTGGATCGAGCGAAGCAAGCTCAAGATGACAAAGTCGTCTCTCAGCCTATAATTTAGACCGAGAATTCGTCATCTCTCAAGGACCGAATTTAACAATGAAATTTAAAGCCGAACTTGCATTCGATAATAAATGTAATTCAGTAATACTTTTGGAATCTCAATTATCAACCAATAGGAGCCACTTATTTTCGGTCGTTACTCTCGACGTTATCATCCCGCAAGGAAATTATCATTCGCGAGCGAGCGGAGGATATAAATTCGCGGCGATGCAACACACCGGAGAGCTTTCACGCTGCTCCGTTCGATTCCGCGGATTCCAAGTGCAGAACGCTTAGAACTCCTTCCGACATGTTTCCCCAGCGCGCACCCACGCCATTTTTTATTACTCATTACTTTCACGAATCCTGACGCGCGACACCGCGCGGGTGAAGTGACGCGAGGCTGGCGGTTCGCAAAAAATCGCGAGCACTCGATGTCTCGAGGAGGCGCGGAGCGCCGACGACATTCTGGAGGACACTCGATCCTCGGAACGCGGAACCGAGAGGCAGCGTCTCTCGAGGGGACTCGAAGTCCGCGCAGCCGAAAGGGAACACCGTCTAGGACGTACCCCGGCAAATTGCGACTCGCAAATAACAACGCGTGGGCGTACGTACGGTGCACCGCGCGATGCAGCGCGCTGCGGCTCTCGTGTTCTCCGCTGAGATAGCCGTTCTCCCGAGAGCGCGACGACGAGAGAAAGGGAATAAGAGAGAGAGAGAGAGAGAGAGAGACAAAGAGAGAGAGGAACTCGCTCTAGCTCGCGAAACAGACTAGTGGTGGCGCGGGATCGGGAGAGAAGGTGGCGCGTTAAAAGCAAAACGGGGGGAACGGGCGAGAGGCAACGGCGTCGGCTGCGGCAGAAGAAGAAGAAGAAGAAGACGAAGACGAAGACGATGAAGAAGAGGGCGAAGAGCAGGAGGAAGGGAGCGGAACCGAGCGATGCGCCAGGAAGGGAGTCTTTCACGTACGAGATTCTCCCGCTCGAGAGAGAGAGAGAGAGAAAGAGAGAGAGAGAGAGAGAGAGAGAGTCGAGACTCGAAGAAACGGCGCCCTGCTGAGAAGCGCCTGGATTCCAACCTCCGCCCCGCGGCTAACGAAGGAATGGCCTCTCTCTCTCTCTCTCTCTCTCTCTCTCTCTCTCTCTCTCTCTCTCTCTCTCTCTCTCTCTCTCTCTCTCCCTCCCTCCCTCTCTCTCCTCCTCTACTCTCGTAGTCCTGGTCGCGCTTTCCTCCCGCTGCCACTTTCCGACTATTCCTCGCGAGGAGAGGAGATTCCAGACAGGAGGGTCTACCCGTCGCGTCCCCCGAAATCGGAGGACAGGGAGGAGACCGACGAAAGAGTCCCGTTTAACGTATACGCGGGATGGCGAGAGACGTGCGCGGTGCTTCCGCAATATCGATGCATCGACGATGAGGCGAGAAAGGGTGGACGAACAGCAGGGAAAGAGAGCGAGAGAGAGAGAGAGAGAGAGAGAGGGAGAGAGAGATAGGGAGGGGAGGGGAAGGGGGAAAGAGCAGCGCGCGCGTACAATGACGCGAAGTTGACACGCGAAACCGGAGATAAACATGTTCTGAGCATGCGGGTGAGCTTGTCCAGATCGGCCGATACCGCCGGGAGTGATTCATCGGCGGTGACTCGCGCCGTTCCTTTTTCTCCTCGTTTTCCTCCGGCCCGACGACATCTTGCGGCCCGCCTTCTCCAAATCGTCCTGGTAATCGCGTACAC